ATTGTAGACCTGGACCATATGGCACAGTGTACACAGCACATATCAGGAAAAATGTCTTTGCTTCTATTCACTTGCTAAGATGCTCTAAACAGAGCTGAAATGAAGCAGCTGTGAGTCTCCCTGGAAAGGGCACACACAATCAATCTGGATCATTTAAGCTTATTGAAGACTTCAACTCATAAGCACCAATAAGTCTGAATCAACAACTCTGGCAATCTTATTGTAATAAACAAGATTTTAATTACCTCACACAACGAGCGTGCAATGAACCTCTACTTTAATGGAGCTCTCAGAGGTTTTATCTGGAGGTTTTCCTTTGCATGAACTCCAGCTTCAGTTATGAGTGGCCACACCACGCAATGCAATTCCTATTAGTGTTATAAGAAGCTTTATTTAAGTTACCCACCACAGAACGTGGAAGGCGTGTGGAATAGGAAGAAACTCGAGGAGAGGCAGAAGCCATCGTAGGTAACCATGACTGGGCAGATAACAAAAAGCAGAGTATGAACGAGAGAACTGAACAGGTCACTCTGACCCCACTGTTTTAATCACTGGATTATTCTGTGCCTTTTAAGGATACTTGATCATATTAGCAAAGTCTTTTTTGCCATGTAAAGTAACATTTTCACAGGTTCCAGGAATTAGGGTGTGGACATCTCTGAGGGGTCGTTATCCTGCCCACCACAACTCCCATACTGACCTCTATTTATTCCTTAAATTTACCAGGGATCACCTGCCTCAGGGCCTTTGCATATCCCTGGCAGGCTCCAATTCATCTCTTTCATCTCAGTAAATATCACTGTCTCCAGAGGCCTTCCATATCCTGGCACAAGATGGCCCTTTCTTTCAGAGGCCATAACACAACAGGAATTATATAGCCACTTACATGACTGTTCCTTTTATTTCAGTGTCACCGCTAGAGCTCAAACACCTTGAGGGCAGGGACCCTGCTTTTCTTGTCCACCTTTGTACCCCAGCACCTTCACAACAGAGGTAATTCAATAAAAAGTTCCCAGTAGACAAGAAATAAACTAGGCTGGGTGTTGCAATCGGACTCCAACGTTCTTTTCCAACTTTAGCTGAGCTGGGAAGAGCACTGGCTATCAAAGGGTTTTTGTTTTGCTTTACAAAGACGTTTTTCCCCTTCTATGAAACTGGATGTTTGTAAATGTAGAAACTACAAGACTGGGCCCAGGATTTCAGCCAGGAAAATACAGAGAGGTCTAATTTCTAAATGTGTACAAACAAAAGTTGTCCTAGATGACCTCAAAGAATTCCTAGGAGGCAGCAAAGCCAATAAAGTTGTGTTTGTTGCAATTTGCCCTCCGGGAGCAGATCCAGCTTCCAGGGGGGCATATGCTTCAACATCAACCTGCAGAGCTAGAGTACCCAGGCAGCTGCAGAAATTCCCAAGGTCATGACTTTGCCTCAGGCAAGGTCAAAGGGAATGAGCAACAGCAATGCTGTTGCATGGAAGGCAAAGCACAAGCTGAATGCCTGGGCACATTTCCTCTCCCAAAACTACAAGATGATGGAACAACTTCTCCAGAGACGAGTGCTCATTACTGACACGTATTTAAACCTAAGCCATACAAGAAAGAGAGGCTCAACTCCGCCACAGCACTACTGACAGTTGGGGCCGGAAAATTCTTTGTTGCTGGGGCTGCCCTGTGCATTGTAAGGTGTTTAGCAGCATCCCCAGCCTCTTACCCACCAGATACCAGTAACACACAACTGCCCCCAACTGTGACAACCAAAAACCTCTCCGAGTCCTGACACACGCTACGACATGGATGAACCTTGAAACATCACACTGACTGATAGAGACTGGACACGAAAGGACATACGTCATATGATCCTACTGATATGAAACAGGCAAATGCATAGAGAACAAACCTAATAGCTGGAAGGAGGGGTAGGAGGGCAGGGGAAGGGCGGAGTCATTGCCCAGAGGGCACTGAGTTTCTGCAGAATACTTTCGAAAAGGACAGTGGCTGGACAACATGATGAATGGAATCAATGTCACTGAATTATACATGTAAAAACCAGATGAGCTGGCAAATGTTTGGTTGAACATATTTTACCACAGTAAAAAAAATTAAGGGAAAGAAAAAGTCTCCAGGCACTGCCAAATGTTTCTCGCAGGAACACTGTCCAGGCTGACAGCCCTGCGCTAGTCTTCCACTCCCAGTGGACTCTCAGCAATGACGCATCCCTGGCCCCCAAACACAATGCACATAGACAAATGAATAACGCCCCAATTATTCACAGACAAGTGAATAATTTCATACTTTCTTAGAAAACAATTTAGTTACGTGGAAAGAAAGAAACCAAATGAAGTTCCTCCAAATATATCCACTAAGCAATTTCACATGTTTATTGCATTTAAAAAAAAAAAAGCAAGCTACGAACCAGATGGGCTTTGATGAGGAACCCAATTAATACAGGCAGCCTTACCATTTGACATTACTTACAAGAAAAAAATCCAAACAACTCGGCCAAACAACAAGTCTGAGCATTGTTGCTGCTATTTCAAATTCGATTCTGAATTCAATGACTCTCTCTGAGCAAAGGAAAACTGAAACATGCATTTAAAGTTGTAAGCTTTCAGAAGAATATATATCCACTGGATGCATCTTTCCAGAATCAAGGGTGAAGAGGAAGCAGGCCGATCTCAGCATTATGGGTAGTGATGTGATTATGAATGAGGGTTAAATTTCCAGTTTCCAGCCCCAGAGGTCTTATTTTCCAATGTAGCAGTCAGATTAAGTTTTCAAACTCTCAAGCACAGATCCTTTGTCCGGAACAATGTCCGCTGAACAAATGGCAACCCAATTCTAGACAAAGAGGCTTCAGAGCAAAGTTGGCTGGACACAAGCTACTCTCTCAATTCACAACTCAGTGGGAACCGGTCAACAACGTCGGAAGGGAAACTCCACACCTAAAACATGATGTAATTTGCTTCTAGGAATCAAGTTTTCCAAGTGCAAATAAAGCTAGGATTTCTAAGAAATGATTCATTCAATTTAAAGGGAGGAGGAGAGCCAATTAAGTGGAAATCTGACTCATGTGACATAATTAGCCTGACTAGGACAGGAAACATCACAGAGAGAGGGGTCTTAATACAGGAAAAAAGTTGGTAATGAAAATTTGTCAGCTAAACTAGAAATACGAAGCATTTGCTCAGAGTAACGATCTCTAGCTTCTCTGACAATCGTGGGTAAGACATATAGACCTGCATATAAAACCAAACAAACCCATTGCTGTCAAGTCGATTCTGACTCAGTAACCCTACCAGACAGGGTAGAACTGCCCGTAGAGTCTCCACGGGGCACCCGGTGGATTCGAACTGCTGACCTTTTTGGTTAGCAGCCATAGCACTTAACCACTACACCACTGGGGTTTCCCATGGGCATACAAGCACCTATAAATGTTGGAAGAGCAGCAAACCCTCACCAGGACTGCCTAATCAGAGCCCTGAGCCCAGAACATTCACTGACAGCAGAAGCTGGGTACCGAGTCCCCCCTCTGTCCTAGTTTGTTTTTCTTCCTCCTGATCAGGGAAACTACTCCCCCGTTCTGGATACCCAGCAAATCTTCTTCGCACTGCTAAGTTCGTCAGTGTGCGCCTCATACGGCGCCTGGCCAACCTCATTGCTATGCCTTTTCTCAGCACAGAGGGAAAGGGGTCCTTTGCCCGCAGCATGGAAGAGGGGTGAGTACAGGCCACCAGCCCTGCCTTGGCTGTGGAGGGAGACCCACTGGCCATAGGGGACCGACACCCACATACAGAACTGATCATTATCTGCCTCTTCTGTATGTGAGTAAAGCATGATTCCAACCAGCGCCTGTGTGAGTCATGTCTTTCTTAGACACGTCGGACCTGGGCTCAGCAATAAGCAAAGAAATAACTGACTCTCTCCTCTTGTTGAGGTTGTTCACCTAAGTTTCTGGGATGCCTAAAGGGTCCATGAAGGGGCTTGGGGAGCAGGGAGGAGTTATGAAACCCTGTAAATTATGTGTGAACAAATGCATAGATATAAACATGCCTCTTCTACGTGAAGGGCATCCAAAGCAGTCATCAGATTCGTAAAGCAGGCCATGACTTCAAAGAAGTTATGACACACTAAGAGTGAAAATTTTCCTTGGATGCTTCGCTCCTCTGAGTAAAAGATACTTCCAACAAGACAAATATCCAAAGGCACACATGTTTCAGTCTAACCACAGGCGGGAACCTCTACCACAAAAGGCTCATAACATGGGGATCCCAATATTTGTAAAAATAAAAGAATATTCACACTGATCCTGATGAAGTGCAGTGGAAGGGATGTGTTGCCCCCAACCACCATTAATAAACAAGTTTTGAAACTTGCTCCCTGCCTTACCCCTGCTCCAAAACACACACATCAGCACGTGACCTAGCTGCCCCCACACCCTTCCTGTTCCTGGAAGCATGGATCTGTGAGAAAACCAACACAGTGGAAGCAAAATGTCACCATCGTTCCCAGCAAAGCTAACAGGACTCATGCCACCTATGGCCACGGCCACTTTCGAAGCAGCTGGCAGGAGCAAAACACCCTCAGAGCAACTTCCCTCCTGAGAGAAGGTTTTGCGACGTCTCTTCATATGTCAACCAACTTTTCTTCTCTCAAGGGTGAAAATGAAGTCACCCGAGTTTGCTGTAAAATGTCACCATTAGAAAGCTGGGTTTCAGAAGTGGATGGTAAATAGAAACTTTGTCAAAGAACCAAATGGCTGAAAACCATTGGTCTGGGGTGAGTCTGCTCAAGCCATGGTGTCTGTGACTTCTAGGCATTTCTCTGGCTGAACAAAGATGAGGCACCTGAGTTAGACAGCTGCAGGCCATGCTGTAGATGCAGGATCTCCAGAGACAAAAGTAGGTACTGCGCAAGTTTGATTTGAAAAACGACTGGGGATAAAGACATAACATCTCATTAATGTAAAGACCAAGGCAGTTTGAGATCTCGACTTTCTCTCACCTCGACAGGAAACCTCCTGCCATCGATGCTGTGTTCAGAGCCGGCGGAGCCGTTGCTGTGGCCCCAGTGAAATTCCACCTTCTCAGCTTTGAATCTCCCAGGCAGGCCGGCGCCGCTGACAAAATAGTCGTCTTTCAGAAGGATGGCAACTGTGCAAACCGGAAGGGAAGGGAGGAAAACAAAGTGAGTTTCAGAACCAGACTCTAAGGATTTCTTACATCGTACCTAATAAAGTTCATGGCGACCGTGACGTGAATTATTTCCTTAGGTAGCTTTTAAAAAAAAACAATTCAAAAACACCCATCTGAACAAATTAGCATGTTTGAGCTGCAGACTGCTGGGGTCACTGCTGTTGTTTTCAGTGGCCCCAACTCATGGGGACCCCGTACACAAGAGAATAAAACACTGCCCAGTCCTACGCCACATCCATGACCAACTGCACATCTGATGCATCGAGTTGTGGATCCACAGCGTTTTTATTGGTTGATTTTGGGAAGCAGATCGCCAAGCCTTTCTTCCTAGCCCATCTTAGTCTGGAAGCACTGCTGAAATCTGGTCAGCATCATAAGGACACACAAACCCCCAATGACAGACAGCTGGTGGCTGCGCATGAGGGGCACGGGCTGGGAATCGAAGCCGAGTCTCCTGCACGGACGACGAGAATTCCATCACTGAACCACCTCTGACCCCTGGGGCACCGTTACCACCTGTGCTGCTGTGGAGACCATTCTGACCCACAGCGACCTCATGTGTCATGGGTGACCTCGTGGAGCCACTAGTTGGCTCTTAATCATGACAAATCCCAGGGATTGGTCTCAGAATTTATCCATCTAACAGATGAAAAAAGGAGACAGTGACAGAATATGTCGCTCTGAATCACTGTCTCCTAAATCTGTTTGATGACCAGAATTATCTAGAGAGTGATTTTTTTTTAAAGCACTGATTCCTGAGATTACTCCAAGATTCAAGGTCTGCAGGAAGATAGGAAAAATATACGAAAAGCCGGATATGACAGCCACGGTTCTTTGATCAGAAAATTTAGGCAACATATCAGGAAATCGAATTTCAGGGGTTCTCCAACACTAAGGACAGCGGTGAGGTGTCGGGGACTGGGGTTGCCATTTTTTGTATCTGATAACAGAGTCAGGGCAGCGCAGAGCAGAACCTGCTCACTAAATCACTCAAACACTGGCACACTAACTAGATTCACTTTACCACTTTTTTAAAATTCCAAGCATAAGAAAACTTCTCCTAGCGCACCAACAGAACACATCATAGCATCCACAGCGCAGGGAACCTCAGCCAATTCAAACCCTAAATTTCAAAAACACATCCCTCTCCTTTGAAAGCAATCCTGGTGGCGCAGTGGTTAAGCGTTCGGCTAATAACCAAAAAGGTCAGCAGTTGGAATCCACCAGCCGCTCCTTGGAAACCCTATGGGGCAGTTCTACTCTGTCCTAGGGGATCACTCACTATGAGTCAGAACATGGGAAAGAGAAATTGAGAACAAAAACTTGGACTTACAGTAGCACAAAAAAATTATTCTTCCCAAAGTAGCGCTAAAATGCCTGAAAAAACAGATTCTATTTTGCAGGTGCAGCATCTGTTCGTTTATGTCCTCTAAAGTGGCTTAACTCACTCGTGCCTGCATTCGAGAAATACTTACTGATTGCTAAGCATGTATGAGACCCCCACTAATACACTAAACGCTTGTGATCAAAAGCCACGCTGGTGGAGGCCCTGGGAAAGGTCTCACATCCCCTCACTGAACCTTCCTCCTGAAGAGACCCAGTTAGAGCTTCAGGGGGAAACCCTGCATGAAAATTAGGTCTCCATAAAAGACAGGGACAAGAGTAATGACCCACTCCTAAAACATGGCAATCAGTTTCAGCTCTTCTCTGCATAAAAGAAGCATTAAGCACAAGCAAAGGAAGCCTGCTCGTCTAAATCCCTTTCTATTGCATTCAAAAGGCAGGTTTTTTCCCCAACTTCTGAAAAATATACAATGAGCTTTCAATTAGTGAATGAAGGGATACAATGATGTAAAAGTTAAGCGTTTCTTATGTCAAATTAAACACGCTAGGGCATCGAACCACCTATATTGTGTGCTGGTCATATTTCAGAACAGGGGTCGGCAAACATCCTGTAAAGGACTAAATAGTAAATGTTTTTGGCTTTGTGGGCCATATGGTCTCTGTCGCAAATTCTCAACCCAGCCTTCGTAGCCCAGAAACAGCCATAGATAACATATAAACAAATGGGAAAGGCTGTGCCAATAAAACTTTATTTATAGACATGGAAATTTGAATTGGATATAATCTTCGGGTGTTGTGAAATATTATTTTCTCTTTAATTTTTTTTCTTCAAACATTTAAATATGTAAAAATATGCCGCAGGGTTGTCACTTGGTGACCTCTGTTTTAGAAGTTAAAATATTACAATTATACCAAGCATATACTTTTAGTTCCAACGTCAAAACATGTAGGAATTAGCTCAGTAGAGTCTTAAACTGTTGATTATTCTCAGCCTGCTAGAAATTCTATACATAACATTTCGCATCAGAAGGACGAAGGCAAAGTGTTTGGAGTGCATCTGTTACAATGTACCCAGGGACTCAGCAGCATCTTATAAATATTTGATTTTACCTAAATCATTTATGTCTCTGTCAGGGGTCATTTTACTTGTTTTGTATGAATAATTAAAAGCATAATTAGGAAACTGTACAATCTGAAACATTCATCTCATTTTTCATTTTACAGTATCTCTCACTAGAGCACACGGCGTGCCACATGCAGGTATTCCCCTTCCGAAAACGTTTATATTTGTGTTTACATATACAACAGGTAAGGAAGAACTTTCCCGGCTATCATGTACCCATTTTCTGATGACCGCAGATAGCCCGGCTCTGCTTCGGAACAGAACGTGCCAAACGAAGGCGGTGACCCCGGACGCAGAGCGTCTGGAGAGCAGGAGCTCAAGAGGGGGCCAGACCTGGGCTGGAATCCTGTCCTGTCACTTAACAGTGAAGTGCCCTTGAACGGGTTCCCCGACTTCCTCGTGCCCGTTTCCAGTCCTTTTTAAACAGGGATAATAATAGCGTCTACTTCGTGAGGCTATTTTGACTCCTGAAGGAACCCACACATGGAAAGCATTTCACATAGTGCCAGTAACGCAGCAAGCATTCACTCAGCGGCTGCTGTTACCCAGCTCATTTCTAGTGATGTGGGCAGAGCTGGCGGGCAGCGCACAAGGGCGACCCACAGGTATAACTCTGTTTTCAGGTAGAGCGCCATTTTACAGCAACCCTGTCATTCCACAGAAGAGTGTCACTAGGTAGGGACAACAGCAAGGGCAGATATGTCCCAAATGCCACATGGGTGGCAATCTTAATTGTTGAGTAGATGCTTTAAATTTGTCAAAGCAGAATAAGAAAGGTATTTTTTATTATTATTATTTCAATCCCTTCGACCACATCGAGGAAAAGAAAATCTTAATTTGGTGCTGCACCTCCCTGATACTAATCCATGTGCCCTTTCACTCAGGAGTAAGCTTTAAGCCAGAATTTACTGACTTCTATAACTCTGATTTACTTTCAGAGGATACACATCTATTTTTTAACAGTAAGTCAGTTTCAAATAGCACTGGTTTTCCATTTACGGTGTTGATAGAAAGTTTTCTTTTAAAATCAATCCATTTAATTAAAATAAAGCGAGCCGACTGAAAGAAAAAAGAATGAGTGAATAATACTAAAATAATAATAAATAATGACTCATAATTCAAAAATAAAAACAAGAGTAATAACGGCAGAATCTGGTAAGGAGAAAATTAGGAAGGTGACAGGCAAAAAGCTGAAGACTGGAAACCAGCAGGAGGGGAGGGGAGGCAGGAGATCCATCAACCAGCCCCTCTGGTCTTTAAACTGCTAACATGGATCGTGATGAAATCAAAGCAGAATGTCAGAGGCAACAGTAGCAGGTAAACCCAACCTATTGCCACCGAGTTGATTCCAACTCACAGCAACCCTGTAGGACAGAGCAGAACTGCTCCATAGGGTTTCCAAGGAGCAGCTGGGGGATTCATACTGCCGACCTTTTGGTTAGCAGCTTAGCTCTTAACCACTACGCCACCAGGGTTTCCGTAGAAGCAAGCAGGGGCTTCAAATTCAGGATTTCTTAACCCTGGGTCCAACAGGCTTCGGGGTTTAGTGATATCAGAAGTGTAGAGAACGAGGAAGAGACAGTGAGCTTGTCTTTATCCCAAGAGAAACGGGAAGTCCTTGATACATCTGAGAGAGAGACTGAGGAAGAAAGAGGGACAGAGAGATGATTCTGGCTACCGTACAGAGAAGGAGGAAGGCAACAGCGCCGGCAGAAACCCAAGTCAGGGTATAGCAGTGTCTCAGTCTTCTGGTGCTGCTATAACAGAAATACCACAAGCGGATGGCTTTAACAAAGAGAAGTGATTTGCTCACAGTAAAGTAGGCTTCGAGTCCAAATTCAGGGCATCAGCTTCAGGGGAAGGCTTTCTCTCTCTGTCGGCCTTCTCATCAATGTTCCCCTGGACTAGGAGCTTCTCCGCCCAGGGACCTCGGGTCCAAAGGACATGCTCTGCTCCTTGCACTACTTTCTTGGTGGTATAAGTTCCCCCCATTTTGCTCACTTCCCTTTCATCTCTTGTAAGATAAAAGGTGGTGCAGGCCACGCCCTAGGGAACTCTCTTTACACTGGATCAGGGACCTGACCTTAGTAAAGGTGGTACAATTCCACCCTAATCCTCTTTAAAGTAAAATTATAACCACAAAAGGGAGGACAATCACACAACACTGGGAATCACGGCCTATCCAAGCTGACGTGTATTTCTTGCGGGGGGACATAATTCAATCCATGACCAGCAGTAAGTCAGTAAAGAGAAGCTGAACATGTTGAGCAGGAGGAGCTTCAGCTATCCAAGGGAGGTCAAGTTGTCAGATTCCTGGGTCTCCGTTAACTCACTGCCCAACTGAGCAACATGACAGAGGGGCACTAGCTGGCCCTTTAACCACCTGAGACATGACAAGTAAGAGTCCAGCAGAGGGTTCTATGCCAGAAAAAGGAGGAGGACCCTTCAAAAATAAACTTCAAAGTTTAAAAAACTGGTAAATGAGGCTCTG